TACACAAACACACACACACACACACACACACACACACACACACACACACACATATATATATATATATATATATATATATATATATATATGCACTATCCAAACAAGGAGATACAAAAACCTTAAATAACCTCAAATCAGGCAGTGACGTTGACGCAGTAATGAAAAACCTAACACCTATGAAAACTCCAGGTCCTAGTGAATTGATTGCTTAATTCTACAAGAACTTGAGAGAAAGTCTAATGTCAACACTCCTCAAATATTAATGAAATTGAATGGGAAGGAGTCCCCCCAAATTCATTTCGGGAAGGAAGCATCAGGTAAAGATCCAAAAAGTGAACGACTGCTCAATCACTGTTTGGACACAAACACAAAATTGCTCAACAGATACTGGCAAACACAAGGCAACAAGTCATCAAAAAGATCACACATAATGACACAGTGTGCTTCATCCCAGGGATGTAAGGATGGTACAAGCTGTACAAATCAATAAACATAATATATCACGTAAAGAGATGCAAGGACAAAACTCTCATGATCATCTAAATAGATTCAGAAAAAGCTTTTGATAATACCCAGCATCATTCGTGATACAAATCCTTAAGAAAATAGGTATAGGAGGATCTGATATCAACCTGATAAAAGTGTTTTATGACAAATGTACAGCCAACATCATACTAAACGGAGAAAAACCAAATGTCTTCTTTCTAAAATCTAGAACACCAGGAAGATGCCCATTACCACCATTCCTGTTCAATATGAAAACACACAGAAGGAAAGAGTAGGAAAGGAAACAGTGAAATTATTATCATGTCCAGATGGCATGAGATGATATAAAAGGCAGCAATATCCCAGCAAAAGACTACTAGAAGAAATAAACAAATTAAACAACATAGGGTATAAAATCGGCACAAAACATTAGTAGCATTCCTGAAAAACTATAATAAAATCACTGAGAAAGAATAGTAAAAAAAAAACATTCATAATAGCACCAACATGGATTAAATCCTTAGCAATTAAGCTAACCAAGGAACTCACAGGCCTCTACAGTGAGAATCATGGTACTCTGAAAAATGAGAGCAAATAAGATACCAGGAAAGGGATGCGCCTTGATCGTGAATAGGCAAATTTAATACAGTCAAAAGGGCCAAACTTGGGCAGGGAATTTAGCTGAGCAGAATAAGCACCCGCCTGGCCAGTGCAGGATCCTGAGTTTGAATCCTGACTTATGAAAAAAAAAAACAAACTTCCCCAAACTGATAAACAAATTGAACACAATTTCAGTGAAAACACTAATAGATTTCCTCACAGAACTAGACAAAGCGCATCATGGAAACAGAAGAGAGCCAGACCACCAAAAGTAATCCTGTGTAGCAACAACACAGTGGATGGCACTACAATCCCAGAATACAAGCAATATAATAAAGCTGTGGTGATGAGACACCATGGTACTGGCACAAAAACAGACACGGGGATCAGTGGAACAGAACCTCAGGCACTGTCAGCCATCTGATCTTTGGGAATGGGCCAAGAGCATACAGTGAAGGGAACACAGCTACTTCAGCAAGTGGTGCTGGGAAAACTGGTAATCCTCACGTATAATGAATCTAGATCCATGTGCTTCAAGATCCCTTAAAGTAAAATCAAGAGGAGAGAATCAGGAAGCAGCAGCACCCTCTCATGTGCCAGCTGCAGTCAGGCATTCAGGAGAGAATCAGGAAGTGTCAGCCATCACTTGGACAAGGAGTGAAGATACCCCACATACACATACACGTATCTGCTTTAACCAACTGGCTGATTCCCAGCAGCTCAGCTGAGATGATAGCAACTCAACTAAAGAAAATGACTTAATGCTTCTATTGTTTGGTTGACTTTGCAGGCCGAAAGCTGGCAGTATATGCATCTATTTGGAGGATCACAATATGCATTGTAGCAACTGTGGGGATTTCCTTCTGCCTTGTTTGTGACACCCAGTGTTTTGTCCCGTCCTGTTGTTTGGTTATATTCCTGTATCCGCTATCCTGAGCAAATATCTCATAGAGACATATGCAATATAGCAACCACTGTTAAACGTCTGTCACCTTGTTTGGAAACACGTGTGTCACCGTTGGTTTTTGTTGTTGCTGGTGTTGTTTTGCTTTTGATGTTGTTGTTTGGCTTGTTTCCTTTTGATGTTTCTCTATCTTTTTTCACTTAAAAGAAGAAGGCCAAATAGTAGCAGAAGCCCAGGCAGGGCCAGAAAAGGCCTCTGCAGCTCCTCCTCCAGCACTTCACAGGACACTGGATCTCCAGGTTTCTGTGTGAGGCTGGGGGAACCCTCAGGGGTCAGCCTCTTGAGAGACTAGCCTAAGCATCCTGGGAGCATCTAGGGGCTGGGTGCAGGTGACACCCCAACTGGCCCACAGTTCTGTCAGAAGCAGCCAACACCTTAGGGCCACAGCAGGAGGCAAGCACCGGGATATAAGTTCTTGCTTTCCTGGGAGGAGAGGCAGGGAGAGAGTGCCAGAGGGAAGAGCAGCTTCCCCTTTTGGTTTTAAACAGATGTCACACCGGGTGGGGGGCGGGGCACTGGAGGGTGTCTGCCCCTGACCAGACCCAAGCTAGGCGGATGGCTGAGGCGGCATGGTATGGCATCAGGCCTGTGGTGAACACCTGCCCCACTCCTTGGCTGTCCCAAACCACTCTGTTTCCCACACCGCCTCCCACCCTCTCTGGGCTCCCACCATTTGACCCCGCGCACTGCATTACATCGAGGTGGTCAGGGCGATGTATGAACCGAGTCCCACTACCTTGGGGGACACCTCTGCCTCCTCTTCTGTCTAGGCTTCTAGGGCAGAACCTCCTTTCCTCTTTCTGCTCCCTCCCTGCTGAGGGCTCCTTCCTCTGCCCTGCTGCCTGTAAGCTGTTTTGCTGTTGTATGGATCACTTTTCCTGACAATAATGTTTTTATTAAGAAAAAAACCTGACAGGGAAAAAGAGCTATTTCTTCAGGAACATTCACCAAGCAACTGTCTTTATCATTCCAGCCTGCAAATGAGCCACATTTCCTGTGATGGGGAAAGGAGTTTGCCTCCCCCTACTCCTCCCTGACATGAGCCTTCACGTGCCATGTGACAGATCAGTCCCCTGTCAGCCACTGACACCAAACCGCTCTTCTCTGCTACTGGGGTCTCCTCCCCTGTCCTCTCCCCCGGGGTCCTCAACTTTCCTGAGTGTGCTACACTCATTTCCTCATGGCAGCCAAGTGGGTCCCCGGGCCTAACTTCCCTGGAAGGACAGTGTGCCAGCATCACCAAGATGACAGCTTCGACTTCCCTAAACACAACTTTGCCCAGTATTGCAGATGCAACCCATGGGTTTCCCATGAGCTAAATGCCTACTCTTGCCACATATTTTATTTTATTTTAAAGAGATTAAGACAAAAGAGGACATAACAAAGCAGATCAGAACAATGTAAGCAACACAGTATTTTGAGACACAGTCTCACTAAATGTGACATTCTTGTCTTTCTCTTTTTTTCTTCTTTTGTCCTTTTGTCTTTTTGTGACAGGGTTTTGCTATGCAGTTCAAGTTATACTGGAACCCACCTTGCAGCCCAGACTAGCTCCGAACTCATGAAGACCCTCTTGCCTCAGCCTCCTGAGTGCTGGGATGACAGGCCTGCACCACCATGCCTGGCCTGACATTCTTGACTGAGGAAAATATGAGCTACTTCATAAATGATACTGGGACTCCAGGAACCTTTGAGAGAGTACTCATGCCATTTCCCACACCAAAGTAAACTTGCATTAGAAGAAAATTTTACATTAATACCGTACACTGTCAATAATGTTTTTAAAGATTTTATACTGAGTAGTAGTTTCCTTGGCCAGCAAAGCCCATAATAAAGAAATGTATTGAAGGCACTTAAAGCGTAAGATCCTCAGAATCATTCTAAAAAAATGTAAAAAGCAAGGCTGGCTGTTACTGCTTGAACAAGGGTTGTCTCGTGCGTCTGCCTGATATTAACCATCATGAAACTTTACAGAAACACAACCTGGCACAAAGGCCACCACAACCTGATAGAAGGGAGCAATGTTTCTTCAAGGACATTCACCGGCAGCTGAATCTATAATCCAGTCCTCCCCATTTTTACCGTGAAAACTTCCGCTGGATTCAGGCTCCTCAGCTTGCTCCGGGTTCATTACTGTAAGCGTGTTCCCATTCCAAGGTCATTCTCTGCCCCAAATAAACACCACGGTCCCTTTAAGAATAGGTTGTTCTGGTTGTTGTTTGTACAAAAACTTTGTAAAATTCTCCACAGGTGAGCCACTGGAACCAAGAGCACTGAGCAGCAGTTCTCTCGGAAGGGGTACGACCTAGGTGGCTGGGGCCTCTGGGCTCTGCAGGAGAGGACTGGGAGCCTCCTCTCAGCTCAGCCAAGGAGCCCTTGCTCCCCAGTGCCCTGGAGAGAGACACCTCTTATCATGAGCCTCCCGTCCAGCCTCAGCCAAGGGAGGTACAAATAGTGAGGAGGGGGCTTCCGCTTCCTAAGCTGCCCTCCCACCAAGGGCATCTTCCTGAATGGGGCAGGAAGCTTTGGGCAACATCCCTGGGGTCAGGAACCATGCCACAATGTCGTCAGCCCCCTGGAGTGCATGGCCCCAGTGCAGGGTGTCTTTGAGGAGAGCACTGGCCATTGGCACTGGCCAGGATGCTCACAATGCTCCTGGAGCGTGTAGCTCCTGCCTTGCTTTGAGGCCGGCAGGAAGAGTGGGCATGGAAGCCAGCTCCCCTCCCAGCAGCATGGCATGCTAGCCCCTCTGACCTCAGGTCCATGGGCTGAGAATGCTCCAGTCCCGTGTGCTACTTATGGCCACCAGCTGTTACCTTTACTAGCTCCTCCTCTACCTCCATCCCTAAGTGTGTGTCCCCCAGGGGAAGCCGCCCAAGACCTCAGAGGACAAAAGCCAGAAACCAAGGAGAGGCGTTAGCTGAAACAAACTCAGGAGCGGAAAGGTTGCTCAGCTTTATTTTTTTCAGTGCCACACGCTCAATGTGGTATGGGCTTCAGCCCCCTTTTGCCAGAAGAGAAGAGGACGGAAACAAGGGCTTCAAGCGCTGCAGGATCCGCAAGAGCAGGGCAAGTTCCTCCAGGAACTGGGTGAACACTATCTGGAGGTGGCCACGGTCCTGGGCGACCCATCTCCTGCGAGACAAGGGACAATCGCTCCGGGTCAGGACTCGGAGCCTGGTCAGCACCCCCAAATTCAGCTTCCTCCATACTCAGGGACCCCGACATTCTGCACTGCCCACACTCAGCACCTCCTGCACTCAGAGAGACCGCAAACTCATCCCCCCCCCCACCGCCATCTGCGCCCACCGTGCCCCGCGGCCTCACACAGTCAGGACGCTGCGGTCTCTGGTGAGCACCCGGTGAATGTCAGGGCTCTCCCCGAAATCAGCCAGGTACCTTAGGCTGACCTCAGCCTCCAGGGAGGACCAGAAAGGCACCCTGACCTTGCTGTGGTGAGAGGTTAAGGCCTGATGCGCTACTGTCCACTCCCGGCCCGCCAGGTCCTCTGTCCCCTCCTGTCCAGTTCCGATCTGTCCGGTCCAGTCCAGGCCCGGGAGCTCTCAGGCTGTGCTCACCCACGTGGCTCCCCTCCCTCGCCCCCTTCGCCCGGGCTGTGCCTGTCCACGCGGCCCCTCCGCCCGGGACCCCATCCCCTCTCCTGTCCCCGCGTCCACCGTGGGTCTTGCGCGTCTCTGGCTCCGCTCCCCACGCCTCCCCGTCCCCCAACCAAGGCCCCGTCCTGAAGGATACAATTCATGTAGACCGGTCCCTGTCCTGCTGACCAAGAGCACAATGTCCCCAAAGGGCCACGGGCCATGGGGTATCTGGACGATCCGCAAAATGGTTGCAGCGTAGGCTCCCTCGTCCCCGGAGACACCTGCGCCAGCCTGGTCACTCCTGTGGCCGTCCGCTCCGCCCTCAGCACTGCCAGAGGACTGCATGGCTGCCGGACCTCTTCCCCTCAGACGCTGCCTGGATTATTTATACCGGATCAAGTAGGCCTCTGTGAAGCTCCGCCCCTTTCCCACCCACAATGCACCTGGTGATGCCTATAGCGCCTGCGCAAGGTGGCTCTCGTGTATGTGTGCGTGTGTGCGTGCGTACGTGTGCGTGCGTACGTGTGCGTGCGCTCATGCGCGCGCGAGCAGATTTCCCGCCAAACTGGCCTTCAGGCCTAAACTGCTCTTTGGTTGCCAGGCAACGGGGCTTTCCTCACAGATCCCCGTCCAGAACGCCCCCCCCCACGCCCAGTGCCCATGCGCAATGGACCTTCAGGCGTGGGGTCCCCTCCAAGCTGGCTCAGCCCTTGGGTCCAGAGATGCCCTTGGGTTACCGGGCACTGAGGAGTTTCAGAGGTCATGCTCTGTAGTGGCAAAATCTATGGGGCCCTCCGGAGCCGCTGGGTGGGATGGCACAGGACAAGGCCTGGCAGGTTAGGAGCATCAAAGCCGTTTCTTGTGTGAATGCCTGGTGCTGGACTGTGCAGGACGGGACGGGGCTGGGCGTGGTGGGGAAGAGGCCCTGTCTGGGATCTGGACGCCTCTTGGAGCTGCTGGACCTGTAACGCCCACAGGGGGAGCCAGGCCTTGGGCGCTGTGCTGGCCCATGGTCCCTGCCTCCAACCAATGCCCCCCAACCGGGTTCTTGGGGAGGAAGTGGCTGTGGCCAAGCCCAGCCCCATACTCTCCAGGCCCGGGCGTGCAGTCAGGAGTGCAGCTTCCTGGTGGTGCCCACCCAGGGGTGTGTCCGGAACAGCCGCTCTTGGGTAAGTTTGAGATGCGAATAATCACTGTTGAGTGAATCGAAACAGGATGGGCGATCAACACGGACTTGTTCAGCTCTTGTTGTGTATCTCAGTAGAAGCATGAAAGAAGTGTCTAAAGGACTACTATACACAGGAAGGGTTCCTTGTATATGAATGGTTTACAACGTATTCACGAAATATGTAGGATCAAACCAAACATACTGAAAGAAAATTTCCGGGAACTTATTTGGCCATCTGGATAGCTGAAGTCTTTCCTAAACCACTAACAATAGAATGATGATAACCAAAAACATGCCTTGGATATCACGTTCCAATCGTCGTTTAAAGTAGTAAGCAGGAATTGGCTTATTTATCCACAAATATGCCACACTTTCAGTGTGGTTACTTTTAATGATGAAATAGCAGTTGAGTTTTACTTTCTTTCTTTGTTCCTCCACTATGCACTTTTGGCTGGCCTTGAAGTCACTTTGTAGCCCAGGTTGGCCTTGAACTCACTGGGATCCTCCTGCCTCCACCCTCTGAGTCGTGTGATGACAGATGTGTGTGAAATCATCTGGCTTTTCCTTTCCAAACTCGTGTGTGTGTGTGTGTGTGTGTGTGTGTGTGTGTGTGTGTGTGTGCGTGTGATTACAGTTAGCATGTATTACATTTGTCAACAGAACAGTTAAGAAAGTGATTCATTACTTGTGGAGAAAAACTTCTAATTAGTTCCCAAGTGAACTACTTTGCAGAAGTTGTAGTTATTTGGTACTATTCACTGGAGGCTGAATGTTTCCCGGGAAAGTTCTTCTAATTGGCACCTCTGCTTGATGCGGTGATCACTGTTGTCCTGGGCACTCCCTGAAGTCACCGAGTCTCAGGGCCAAGGCTAGACACCAGGCGGCTGATGGCACACAGCTCCCTTTGTGTCTGTGGCTTTGAGCTGCTTCTGCAAAGCGGTCCTTTCCAAATTCTGCAACAGTGCAGAATTTGAAAGCTGTCTCTCCAGAGGGCAGCTGGTAGCTCGCTTCAGTGATTCATTGGGTTATATTAGATGTTTTTCTTCTGTTCCTTCCGACTACTCACATATGAGCACAAAAGTGGGAGGTGCTGGTTAAATAGTGCCCTCCACACTGCCAGTCCTGGCCTAAGCACTGCCAGTCACAGCCTTCATGTGTCTCAGTCAGAAAAGACTTGTTTGGCACGTGACAAAGATATGTTTCTGTCACGTCGGTCACAATGTTTAACAATTTTGACTATGAAACGATGGGGCCCAGGCGAACAAATTTGAGAGTGATAGTTAAATAAGGAACTCTTTGCCAGATACTCAGGATGTTCTTGAATTTCTGGGCTTCAAACCAATACAGTCATGACTCAGCATCCACGGGGAGCTACTCCAGGCTTGGGATCAGGTCCCTGAACCTGAACCGCCATGAACTCAGAGCCCTTGCACCAAATGTAGCATTGGCATGCCCCCTCTGCAAATAGTTTTAGGAATCTCTAGATTACTTATAATTTTAATGCAGTATAAGCGCTATGGCATTTTGTCCTTCTATCGTGTACCCCGTACATGTTTAGTAGAGACGCGGTTTTCTTCTAGTGCTTCCCGTGCGAGGTTGGTTGCATTTGCAGCACAGTCCTGCAGCGTCAGCCCGAGCTTGCCCTGACCAGCCTCACTGTTCCCTCGCTGCCCGCGTTCTCCCTTCTCCTCTCTTCTCTCCACAGCCTGCCAGTCTCTCATTGCCCTGCAGCTGATTCCCTTCAAATTGTCCTAGCCACCTTCTAGGTGACCTGAGGCCAGCTTAGCTTCATCTCTTACCTGGGTGTGGATGATGGTGTGTTCCGAGTTCTGCAGAGTTTACTGGACCCCTTTCCCAGAGATGTGGCCCGAATAGTGTTCTCCCTTAGAAGAAGGGGACGAGGCTGGCACGGGTCCCCCTGATGCGGACTTTTGAAGGGCCCAGCTTTACACCAAAGGGTTTGAGATGTGTGGGCCTGCTGATCCCTTGGAGGTCATGGAGAGCTGCTGGCCTCTGGAGGGCTTTCTCTCTGGGCGTCCTGGGCACACCCCCAGTGTGAGCCCCGCTAGGGAGCAGCACCCCAGACAGCGCATGGTTCCTGGCCCAGGAGCTCCTGGGACTGGGCTGGGGACTCAGCTGGATCAGCCTGGGCTTGCCCAGAGCCAACTCCTCCTCCAGAATTCGGTGCGGGTGGGGGTGGGGTTTCAGGAGCTACGGGAGCGTCAGGGATTCGGCCAGCACAGCGCCCACAGCCGGGCTTCCCCAGTGGGAGTCGAGGGTCCAGCAGCTTACCGAGGTGTCCAGGTCTCAGGCAAGGAATATCCCCAGTCCCGCCCCAGGGCTCTGTTGGGTCCCCAGACTTCCCTGGTACAGCGTCCTGCCTCTGGACACATTGAGTGCCCCTGTAGCAGAAAGGAGTCGTTGGGACTTAGGGCTGGGTGACCCTGAAGGAGACCTGATGGTTAGGGATCCACTGGTACAAGGCAAGGCCCAGCAGGGTGCCTGGCAACACAAGAGGCTTGCAGGCCACCATACCATCTGGCTTGGCAGGCATCTCCTAGGTGTGGGCATGTTTGCAAAGGCGCCACAGATTTCTCCCGGTGTGTTTTGGGGGGGGGGGGAAGGGGCGGAGCTTTGCAGACTCCTCCTTCCTCAGCAGGAGCCTGTGCCAGGAGTTCTGGATCCAGGGGGGCACCGAGAGAAGAGGCCCGACAGCCATGCAGGCCCCTGACGGTTGTGCTGGTGGTGCGGAGGGCCACGGAGGTGACCAGGATGGCGCTGGACACCCGAGTGGCGCAGGTGTAGTCACTGGGGCTGGAGAAGGAGGCGCCTGTGCTCGTGTAGTCAGGTGTGTTGTACAGATGCCTCCCGGGCCGTGGACCTGTGGGCATTCTGGCCTTGTGGTCTGAAGGCTGGGGTTGCATGTGTATGTGCTGTATCCTTTGGGAAGCGGTCACTATGGCCTGGAACGTCGGAGGGAACAGGGTCATAGGGCAGCAGAGGGGAGGTTGGGGCCAGGGCTGTAGCCGCACAGGGCCCATGGTGGCTGCGGGGGACAGGAGCAGGGCTAGGGTCCTGGGCAAAAGGGACAAGGGAGGGGATCCGGGTAGGGTGGGGACAGCCCGAGAGCTGCCCGGGACTGGACTGGACCTCACGGGACAGGTCATGACCGAGGGCATGGTGGGCAGGGCCCAGTCGGTAGATAGGGCATCACGCCTTAACCTGGCTCCTCAGCACCCTCAGGGTGCCTTTCTGTTCCCCACATTAGCGGAGATCACGCGAAGGTTCCTGACACCCTCTGAGGAGCACCATAGCCGGATGATGGTGGACCGCGGCTTCCTGCCTGTGTGAGGCCGCAGGGCGCAGAGGGCGGCCAGCACGTGGAGCACTGGGTGTTTAGGGCGCTGAATGCAGGGGGCACTGCTCATGGTGGCCGCTGAACATGGCAGGCACTGATTGTGGGTGGAGCTGAGTGCAGGGGGCACTGCGCTTGGGGGGCCCTGCACGTGAGGGGCGCTGAGTGTAGTGGGAGAGGTTGATGCACAGGGCGGGGTCCCTGACAGGGCTGAGAGTCCTGACCTGGAGCAGTTTCCCCTCTCTCTCCCAGGAGATGGGTCGCCCTGGACGCAGGCGGCCTCCAGGCAGTGTTCGCCCCCTTCCTGAGCCAGCTTTCCAGAGTCTTGCAGAACATGGAGCGCATGCGTGCTGCCGATCCCTGTTCATCCTAGCAGGAGAGGGAGGCTGAAGCCCAGGAGTGCCACGCCACAGCGCACACACTTCCTTGGGCCTTCTGTGCCCTCGTTGTTTCACCCTTCAGGAGTTCAGGTGCTCAGAGGCCGCATGTTTGTTTCCTTGTCGCTGGCCGAGAATTGTACTCAAATGTTTCTTGCTGCACAAAGTAAAGCTGACCTATGACTCCGTGCTTGAGTTTCTTTCAGCTATGGAACTCCTTGCTTTGTAGCTTTAGTCCTCTGGGGACAAGGGAACCTTCCCACAGGGAACACCTATTTCTACATGGAGATCAAGGGGAGTGAGTAAAGTCGATGACAGGTGGGTGGGTATCAGTGACACGGAGGACAGGAGCTTTCACAGCCCACAGGCAGGAAGGTTGGGGTACTGCGGTGCTGAGGTGAGGACTTGGTCCTGTCCCCCCTCCCACGGCACTGCTCAATGCAAGGTACCAGGTAGTTGTCCAGGTGCTTTGTGCTTGGT